AAATCAGAAACTTCTTTTCTTTTTTGAAGCTGATGTCAGAAGGGTGACTCTGCCACTGGCGATTGATCGCAGTCCAGTGGGCGGGTTCACTAAAGGGCTGCCTGTCTGTCCATCCCTATAGAACTGTTCACAGAGGCTGCAAATGTCACGTAATGCATGAAGTCTGTTCCAAACTTTTGTCCCCGGGCAAATACTGCCTTTAAACGTTAGTAACAACTAGGTGCACTGTCAGCCTGTCATCGAGTTTGAGCGGCTACTGGATGGTGCTCCTGTATCTTTGGCTCGCACCTAAATGCCCACTGTGCAGGGAGCTCTAATGGCCATAGTCTGGGCCCAAGTCCCCAATACCTTCTTTATTAGCAGGTATATGTTATTACAGGTGTTTTCATAGTACAATTTACATTCACTTCAGTCTCCTCACTCAAGACTCTTACAATCAAAGGTTCCTAACTCACATTTATGCATACACTAGATCTCATTTTAAACAGGCTCCAATTAATCTTCCATTGTCTTGGCGTGTTGGAGGAAACCCACACAAACACAAGGTCAACATGCAGATACTGTCCTAATGGGACTTTGAACCAAGGACCCTATTGCTGCAAGGCAGTAATGCTAACCAGTAAGCCACTTGCCATTAAGCTGCCCCATTTTATGTATTGACACAGAATGAGAACGCTTATCACACAAGTCAGCCCTTATCTGCATATTTGTTCTTTGTTAGTGACTCTGAGTATGTATTGAAGCTGGAGTGCTGACCGCACAGCCAGGCAAATTGGCATTTGCAGATCGAAACGTCAGCAAAAAGGAAGTTTCAATCCATGGCAACAAAAGCTACATCCAGACTACCCTTTCTATCAAGAATTCGATTTGCGCATGTGGCTTCCATTCCTGTCAAAATAAGATATTGTATCCTAAAATATAAACGACCAGGTTAGGTGGCTGCAGTAATCTGCATTACAAAACAATTAAGTAAACACAATTAGTAGAAGTGTTTCATTGAGGATTGTCAGATCTACACCTCAAATACCAACCTGTACTGGAAAAATTGTACACACGTTTATTATACTTTTTTTTTTTTTTTGCTTCTGCTGTTAAGTTAGAAGTTAGGCCTTCTTTTTTTTTTTTTTTTTTTTTTTTTTAGCTGACACGCAGTCAGTTGGTTGGCTATTGTTGATAAACTTGTCCTGTCAGCACAGCCCCATCTGTATGTGTTCCCAGCCCTTACAAGAGATAAGAGGTGCTTTGTGTGATGAGCATGTTCTCCCTGTAATATGAGAATGAAGTACTGCAGTCATTAGTTGGAAGAAAAGTTATGGGCAGTATGTGGTGTGTGCAAAATCTCTCCGGTTTAAGACCTTTACCTGAAAACTAACATTTTAAATACTAGTGCTATGTTATTTTAGCATAGATTTTTTTTTTTTTTCTGTTTACTTTGCTGTGACAGGAGTGTTCATCTTGTATTGAATCTGTACACTTCACCATTTTATATAAACTTCACACAGCTGACCTAAATACACCTGCATTTTTTCTTCGCTCCAGTGCTCCAAGGAATGCCAAAGTGTTTTTTCCATGCATTGCTGCTTTACAGGTTTAAATGCACACCGTTCAACAACACAAATGTCTGAACTCTCCTTTAGGCAGGAATCTAAGTAGATGTCTAAATTCTAGTTGTACATATATAGGAAACTTGCATAGTCTGTCCAGCACCACAGGTAATCACTGGCTGTTTGAACAGCTGTGAATAGCTTCGGCTACCAACAACCAATACCTTCTCCCATTCAAAATGGGGAAAAAAAAACTTTAGTCTTTATCTACACTTTAGGAAGCTCTGTGATTGCAAAATGCTGTTAAACCACATGCTGGCTGTGCTATAGCCAAATGATGGCTACAGCGCAGTCGTCCAGTTCTGGGAGGGTGCGTATTGACATCCTTCCACAACTGCATGGTGCTCACCCAGCGCTGCCTGTGATCACTGTGTCCTTTGGACAAAGCTAATCGCAAATCATGGTAGAGGCCAATCACAGTGGCCCTTTTCCAGGTGATCAGCTGTATCCATTCACAGCTGATCACGATGTAAACATACTCGCTGGTTATCAGTAGTACTTTCCTCACGCTGTCACAGCGTAAGGTAAGTACTGCCGGCAAGTGTGAGAGGGAATATCTACACTGATAAACAGGGCGCTGATTATCAGTGCAGCCCCAACAGTGCCCACTAGTGCTGCCAGTCTGTGCCTATCAGTGCCCATCATTGCTGCCTCATCAGCGCACATCAGTGAAGGAGAAAAATTACCTGTTTGCCAAAAATTTGTTTTTTTTCAACATTTTTGGTCTTTTTTTTTTTTTCCTTTAGCAAAAAATAAAACGGAGGTGAATACTAGATAATGAAAAAAACTCCTGCGCTCAATGGAACACCTATTAATAAGCAGCACACACTCGCCTCAACCACAAGGAAAAAACATAAAAATACAAAAAATAGCGCTGCACTATTTTTTGTAATTTAGAGGTGAATAACACCAAAAGAAAGCTCTATTTGTTTGAACAAAATGATAAAAATGTTATTTGGGTACAGTGTTGCATGACAGTGCAATTACAATTCAAAGTGCGACAGTGCTGAAAGCTGAAATTGGCATGGGCAGGATGGGGGTGAAAGTGTCCGCTACGCAAGTGGTTAAGGGGTATCATTATTTAATTTTTCACTGAAGTGGACCTTATCCCCCACAATTAAAATGCCTGGTGCATGCACCTCCCAAAGCAATTTATATAAGGGTTCATTATTATGGGTGGCTAAAGTGCTATGTTTAGATGCATTATCATATAATATTTTACACCTCTAAATGCAGCAATATAGGAATCAGAAGGGCTTACATACACTACATTGCCAAAAGTATTGGGCCAACCCTCTAAATAATTGGATTCAGGTGTTCCAATCACCTCCATGGCCACAGGTAAAAAAAAAATCAAGCACCTAGGCATGCAGACTGCTTCTACAAACATTTGTGAAAGAATGGGTCGCTCTCAGGAGCTCAGTGAGTTCAAGCGTGGTACTGTGATAGGTTGCCACCTGTGCAATAAGTCTATCTGTAAAATTTATTTGCTACTAAATATTCCACGGTCAACTGTTAGTGGTTTTATAACAAAGTGGAAGTAACTGGGAACAACAGCAACTCAGCCATGAAGTGGTAGGCCACGTAAAATGGCAGAGCGGGGTCAGCACATGATGAAGTGCACAGTGCGCAGAAGTCGCCAACTGTCTGCAGAGTCAATAGCTCAAGACCTCCAAACTTCATGTGGCCTTCAGATTAGCACAACAACAGTACGTAGAGAGCTTCATAGAATGGGTTTCCATGGCCGAGCAGCTACATCCAAGCCTTACATCACCAAGTGCATTGCAAAGCGTTGGATGCAGTGGTGTAAAACACGCCACCACTGGACTCTAGAGCAGTGGAGACGTGTTCTCTGGAGTGACGAATCACACTTCTCTGTCTGGCAACCCGATGGATGTTTCTGGGTTTGGCGGTTGCCAGGAGATCGGTACTTGCCTGACTGCATTGTGTAAAGTTTGGAGGAGGGGGGATTATGATGTGGGGTTGTTTTCCAGGGGTTGGGCTTGACCCCTTAGTTCCAGTGAAGGCAACTCTTAAGGTGTCGGCATACCAAGACATTTTGTACAATTTTATGCTCCCAACTTTGTGGGAACAGTTTGGGGATGGCCCCTTCCTGTTCCAACATGACTGTGCACCAGTACACAAAGCAAGGTCCATAAAGACATGGATGAGCGAGTTTGGGGGGGAGTGGAGACTGCGAGCCAGGCCTACTCGTCCGACAACAGTGCTTGACCTCACAAATGCACTTCAGGAAGAATGGTGACGCACTCCTAAACCTTGTGGACAGCCTTCCCTGAAGAGTTGAAGCTGTTATAGCTCCAAAGGGTGGGCCAACTCACTATTGAACCCTACGGACTAAGACTGGGATGCCATTAAAGTTCTTGTGCATGTAAAGGCAGGCCGACCAATACTTTTGGCATCATAATGTATCTTCATGTTTTTTGTTGGTTTTTTTTTTTTTGTAAAGTAATTCGAAGAGTCATGCATGTCTGAATGCAAGTACTATAGGCATTTATTTTGGGTATGGTCCTCTGCCCACAAGAACCTGCATTCCATGCAGAAAATTCACATGTGCCTGTGTGAATGAGCCTTATATCATTTAGGAAAGCTGGCAATAGATGGGTAGAATTTGGCAGGAAAATTAATACGAAAAGAAGGTTCTAAGAAAGTTAATTTATTAAAATCATTAGTGGGGTCATATCGACATTCTTTTGTACAGGGACAAGGATATTCGAAGGAGCATAATGGAAAAATTTTCTTGAATTAAGGAATTTTCCAACAGTGTATATGGTTTTCAGCCAATATCAAATGTTAAAAGCAAACAAAATCTTATGGACAACATTCAAATGTTAGAATATTCTGAGAATTTTTTGCTCAACTTTTCCTTAGAATTTCCGTTTAGAAATTCTGTCCCATCTATGGCCACCTTTTATGTACAAAAACACTTTCTGGTCAGTTGAGGCATGGGTGACCTCATCCTTGCCTTCAGGGAGATCTTGTCTGCACACCATGAGATGTCACAAGATTTCCTACCCTCATCAAAAAAGATTTATGACCAGAGTGGTAAGTGTGCCGGTGTGGGATTGTCTGTGTGTCCTCGAGGGTTGTGGTGGTTAGATGTCGGATGGGGCAGAAAATTGTAGTTAAATGGCTGCTGGGATAAGAGCACAGAAATGGCTCTTGTGTTGCCATTTCACAAGTTTTCATGATGGTGCCTTTAGTTTAGACTTTGAGGATGCGGTTAAAGGTCTGCTTTAAACAAAACTTGATGTTGGATGTCAGGCAAGACCAAACTAAACAACGGATGTACTTGTGTAAGGATGCTGCAAAAATACAGAACTGCCGACTGGTCCTAAGAAAGTTGTATATATTATTGTTTTGCTTTCTTTTCTGTAGAGTTGCTCGACGATATCTTGAAAGAACGGCCACAAGAAGCGGATGGCATAGACTCTGTCGTTGTGGTGGATAACGTCCCTCAGGTCGGACCTGACCGTTTGGAGAAGCTGAAAAATGTTATCAATAAGATTTTCTCCAATTTGGAAAGATCACCAATGAGTACTACCCAGACACAGAAGGAACAACTAAAGGGTGTGTAAGCAGTTTTGCTGGGTTTATTGCGCAATGTTTTATTAACCTTGAATCATTTACTGTGTTAATGATATCATTTCATATTTGTGTAGGCGCAAGTTTCCAGAATTTCCAGCATAGGTAGTGAGGCAGTCAAACGTGCTTGGGACAGGCATAGACCTATACTTGGACCAAAAAAAGATAACACCCCCCAGGGGCGGTTAACAACTCATGGGGCCCCTGTGTCCTTGCCCAAACTCAAAAAAGCCTATGAAAAAGGTACCAGGGGCATCTCATGGGGCCCCCTACTGACCCCGGGCCCTCGGGCAGTGCCCGAGTTTCCAAATGGTCAGTCCGCCCCTGCACCCCCCTTTAAAATACACACACTGGACCACTCTGTCTTTTTCTGCCATCACTTTTCTATGTTTCTAATTGCTATTTTAAAGGGCAGCCCTACTAAGCTTTGCTGGTTTACAGAACACCGTTCTCAGGCACTTGTGCATCAGCCAGTTTCCTGCTCATGATTCCTTGAGCACTGCTCTGCCATCTAACCTGGATAGTAACTTGGTCTTGCTACCTGTAGGACAGGAGTGCTCATGCTATTACTTCTGACAGCATAGTGTGGAAACTTCACAGATGACAAAACCTGCCTGGAAAATGAATATAGCATCGTGTTGTGCTTTTGTATTGGATGGTGAAGACAATGGGGTGTGTATGGTGTATGTGAAGTGGATAAAATCATTTGATTTTATGAGTGGGTTGACAGAGAAGATGCTAGGTCCGGAGAGCTCAGGACAATAGGATCTCTAGTAGCATTAGGTGCAGCAGATGCTGGGATGTTACTGGTTTCTGCTGAACTGGTTTTACTTGTGTTGTGGTATGGCTGGAAATAGGTGCCTGTATGAATGGTGGGTACATGTGATACCGCCTCAAAATGGCATGTAATGAAAGTGGTGAGGGGTGAACACGGGATATCACTGAAGTAGTGTAATGGGGGCAGAAAGCAAGAAGTGCCGACCATCGACTGTACAAAATGGGAACAAAGCAGTAAATACACTTGAAAGAAATAATGACCGCTTGTGGGATTCTCACCTCAGACAATATAAATCTGTTTTTGTGTCTTGGTTTCATTTTTGTGCAGTTGACACAGTACAAGTATCTTTCTTGTTCCCTTGTACCTCCAGTCTGAGAGGTTTACACTGGTTTTATCAGAAGTGTTGGCTGTAGCTTTACACCAGCGGTTTGTAGGCTTGTAATAGTGCTGAGGAATGTAAAAGTCTGATTTTAACTTGCAGGTCATTGACTCAGTAAGTACCCTAACCCAGAGATAGAAAGGCAGTTTAGTATTTTTTTTTTTTTTTAGGAAGCCATCAGCAGTGGCAGTACTTGTAATTTTTTTGACTGATTTTTTTTTTTTTCGTTAAGAGACACTGTCGCCTTGGCCATTGACAGCAAAGAGACCAAGCCTTTTGTAAATGGTGCCATGTGACAGTGTTCAGTTCTAACAGCCAAATGCTTGGCACTTAGGCAGCTTTCACACTGAGGAGCTTTTGAAATGCTTTTGCGTTTTAAAGCGCAAGAAAAGCTGAAGAAATCTTCCCTGTGTGTGTTTATATGTCTTCACACTGGTCCATTGTGCTTCTGTTGTGGTGTACAAAAAATCCTGTTTCCCGCATTTTTAGGGAATGTTTGGTCTGTTAAAAAAAACAAAACCGCACCACCTCATTTAAATACATTGAAAACGTGGCAAAAACTTACCTGTGTAGTGTTTTGATGCAGTTTTTGAGTCACGTGACCTGTGAAAATGCACTACAAACGAAGTAAAATCACAGCAGTGCGAAAGTGCCTTAAACTTGAGCCAAGTGTTCCCCTTAGGGTCTTGCACCAGCTGACACTAGGGATTTTAGAAATGTCAAAGTCAGAAGTTGCAAGGGGGTGAGTGTGTTGGAGCTGGGGGGTTGCTGTTTACATTGTCACGTTAGTCTGATTTGGCAAGGTGATGGTCTATTTAAAAAAAAATATATATATATTTATTCGGGTTCTAGTCTTTGTTTTGACAGTGTATTTTTTTTGGCAGGGCCACCCTTGGCTTAAGTTTCGGACAATTCCACAGGGAGCGGATGAAATCTAAGCTGTTTTTGGGTACCTTATGTCATGCCTAGTCAATTTTGATGGCTAAAAAGGAGCAGGGCCCTCCTGACCCTCTTGTATTGAACTGTATTGTTGCTGTATTGTCTCCCTTTATATTGTAAAGCGCTAAGCAAATTGTTGGCGCTATATAAATCCTGTATAATATTAAAAAAATAAAGCTTGCCCATAAGGTTTTTATTTTTGTGTTTAGCATTTTTTCCCCTTATCTGGAAAGGCCTATCCAGTGATTTCTCCTGAGTTGCTTTAATTTTCTAGAAAGGTCTCCACTTTTAAGCCTAAGCGCTGTACCCAAGATTACATCTGCCTGTCCATTGTGAGTGCTACTGTTGTGGCCAGCAAGTGATTTTCATAGGACAGTGGATGATGACTAGAGCTTAGTGTTCAGTTGAAGCTTTAAGCCTCTTTTCAGAAGGGCATTCTGATAATGTCTGCCTGTCAGTTTTTTAGGTGGATTTGATTGGACAGTCCAAGCATTCCTATGGGCAGGTGGCTGTAAACAGACTTGTCAGTCTTGCATCCGTCTACCTCTGGCTCCAATCGGGTCCACTAAAAAAAAAAAAAAAAATAACATTGTGTACTTTGTCCTCATCCATTTTAGGTGGACCAGATCTGAGGTAACCAGGTGTAAATGGACTGCTGAGTCCGCCCAGCTTCTTTTATTCCTGACCGCCCATGAGCAGAGCAGGGTCTTGTTTGTGTCCACTGTGCATTAACTTGGCAGACATGGATGTGTCATCTGTCCACTCTGCTTTGATCAGCTGGGGAATAGCACACAGATCCTTTGCTGATCAGAACACAATCCCAGTGTAGAAATGACCTTAAAGTGGTTGTAATCCTCACATGAAATACAAACAAAGCATATCCATCTATTGTGTGTACTTGTCTCAAGTGAGAGTGCGAAGTGTCATTTCTGTCTATTTGTTCCTCTATCAGCATGAATCACTTCTGACAAGTTATCCTGATACCAAGAGAAAAATGGTGACAGGGGAGGGACCTCCAGCAGATTGATAGCCTCAGCTCTGTTCCTGTGAGCTGTGCGGAGTGGGGTGCCCTCCAATCAGCTCTCCTCACTGAGCTCTGCGGAGTGAAACTTTAGCTCTCCGATCCCCTTTTTTCTGAACTCTGACAAGCTTATAAATTCATCAGTTTGATAACGAAAGGCTCTTTGTGATTCCTGCTATAGGCAATACTTTATTTTCAAATTCTGGGTGATAAACGCAGCATTTGAGTATGTAGGAGATTTTGTGTGATGAAGGGTTTTTTTTTTCCTTGTTTTTCATTTATTGCAATTTTTCCACACATAGATATATTTTCTTGGAGTATGCATTACCAGCTCAGGCTCAGGATGCAGTAAAGAATGCAGATGGATATAAGTTGGACAAGCAGCACACCTTTAGAGTAAACATTTTCACAGACTTTGATAAGTAAGTTTTGTTTTTAGTTATCCTTTTCCTATTGAGGCGCCTTACTGTGTTGTGTTCTCTATAATACTTTGTTTGTCTTGACAGATATATGGTCATTGGTGATGAGTGGGAGGTTCCTGAGAAACAGCCATTTAAAGACTTTGTAAGTGTACAGATTGTCTTTCTACCTAAAATAATTCAGTTCCCATGTTCTTTCTAGCGTTCTGATGGATTGTGTAGGTTGTGATGCTGGCTAATTGTATGTTAATGAACACTTAAATTTAATTTTGTTTGCATAAAATTTTACTACGGAATGTTTGTGAGCACTTACAGACTTCAGCAACAGCACGTTGAGAGAAGGGGCCTAATATGCTGCCTTGGCTTCTCTTCTAGGGTAACCTTCGGTCTTGGCTTGAAGATCAAGACTGCCGTGATCAGTTCAGTGTTATATATGAGGCAGGCGACAGAACGTCCATATTCTGGAATGATGTGAAAGAACCAGTTCCTGTTGAGGAGAGAGCCGTAAGTGATTATTTAATGATAGATTTCATTCTGCGTGTATTTTGTATTTATCCCCTCCCCCACCCCATATATAATAAAATTTTATACACACACACACACACACACTTTTTTTTCCTTCATTGTTTCATAAAAATTTCTTTTTTTTTTTTTTTTTTGTAGCGATGGACTGAAACATATGTTCGCTGGTCTCCAAGAGGAACCTACTTGGCTACCTTCCATCAGAGAGGTATTGCTTTTGTGGGGAGGAGAGAAATTCAAGCAGATTCAGAGGTTCAGCCATCAAGGGGTACAACTCATTGACTTTTCTCCTTGTGAGAGGTATGTTTTTATGGTTTCCTGTCTATTTGTCATTGCTCACAGATAGAAAAATGCAGTGCAGCAAAAAGTGACTTGCATCACTCATACACTGAACACATGTAAACACGCAAACTCATGGAATCAAAACATTTCAATTTCTGAGCTAAACTAGTTTGTTAAATTGTTTGAGCAGTGCAGATAGTGACTATTCTGGTTGAGTTTTACTCCTAGTGTTACTTTTTTGTAGCCTAGAGCCCCTTGCTCTTTGGAGACCTTTCCTTTGAACAGATTAGAGACAGTCCATTGGTAAAGCTTGCCTTTTAAGGTTGACTTTTGCGCTCTCACATTTGTTAGGGGTGTTTCTGAGTTAGACCTTACTTGTGAAGAGCCTTTTCTTGTTTTGCACAAGGTCAAGGTGGTTTTGAGAACAAAACCTACCTTTTTTTCCCTAGTGTTCTTCTTTTTCCAACTTGGTTAGGATATTGTCCTACTGTCTTTCTGTCCTGCCCCAGAACATAGAATCTGACCTAAATTGCCTGGATGTAGTTAAGACTGTCAAGTTCTACCTGAAACTACAGCCTCTATTTGTAAGAGCGACTCCTTCTTTATCCTGCCTTTGGCCCTCATAGAGGGCATCCCGCCTTCTGCTCCACCTTTGCCAGGTCACATGTTTTCTAGGTTCTACCAGGTGGATGTTCAAGGTATTTCAATTATATTTTTAGGAACCCTTGTTTATCACGTGGGTCTGTTTGTACACCTAAGTTACTATGTTGTGCAGCCTTGGTTTTATTTGTTAAATACTTCCCATGGGCAATACATACCTGTACTGTATGATTAAGATGATAGAAATTTTGACTTGCCTGTAAATTCCTCACCTTACAGTACAGAACACAGGTCCCTCCCCTCTGTCTGTATCACTCCTTATTGCTTGCTGGGGGGGGAAAAAAAACTGGGGTGTCAGAGTGGTCAGGGTTATATGGATACTCTGTATGGTCTACCCTAGCAAATGTTTTTGCCAGTGCCTAATCACCTGACTGTAATGGTATATAATGGTCTAGGAATATCAGTTCTGTGCTGTACTGCAAGGTAAAGAATTTTACAGGTAGGTACTTTTTTTTTTTTTTTTTTTTTTTTGTGTAATTTAATTTATTCTTTTTAACACAAAGAATGCCTAGGTACTTGTGTAAAGATTCCCATGTTTAAAGTGCATGTAACGGCAAAACCTTTTGGTTTTTTAGACTTTCCCATCTTGAACATTTGCCCCCATTGAAATATTTCCCCTCACCTCCTTTTTTCTGTGGGCAGCTCTTCTTGGATTTTACCTCACTTGTCTGTGACAATGATCCACAGTACAAACGGGCATATCTTCCCAGTGGGGTCACGGCAATAAAAACGAACCATTCCTACTGTATCCAAAACGAAGAAAAACTTTTGCTTAGCGATGTAACTTCTAAACCTTTTCTTGCAGGTATCTTGTTACCTTTAGCCCTCTTATGGACACTAAGGATGACCCACAAGCAATCATTATCTGGGACACTCTAACTGGACAGAAAAAGAGAGGATTCCATTGTGAAAGTTCAGCTCACTGGCCTATCTTTAAGTATGTGGTTGTTTTATTGCTTGCTGTGTTTTTTTTTTTTCGTGTGTTTTTTTTTTTTTTTTTTTGGGGCAGTCATCAGTATCTGCCATTTTCTTCCCAGGTGGAGTCACGATGGCAAATTCTTTGCCCGAATGACACTGGATACGCTCAGCATTTATGAAACACCTGTAAGTATATAGCTTTTGTTTTTATTACAGCTGATATGTTTTTGCATTACTTTTTCCATGGTAATGGATAAATGAATGAAGAGTACAGTATGTGGCACTTGGGGTTAAAAAAAACCCCATAAACGACCATGCAAAGAAATAGCAGTGTTTATATTCTCTTTTGCATAATCAAATTTACTGCTAAATTGAATTTTAAATGTATAGTATTGTGTTTGTATTTGTATTAAAAAAAAAAAAAAAAATAGCTTGTTTTAATAACGTGTCGATATTTGATACTTGTAATAATTGCTTAGACTTATTGCTGTTTCTCACTATGCAAGCTTGAGTCAGTTCGACCTAATGAAAGCTGAGCACTTTGGTGACTTATATCTTATGTCAACAGTTAGGCTCAGTTCACATTTGGGTTTTTTGAATCGTGGGTGGAATCTCCACGATTCTGCCCACGATTACAGAACTGTTAAAATGTCAAATCACACATCAGATTGTTCAGGTGGCATTCATTTCAAAGTCACCTAAAAACGTAGGGCGATTCTTTCGGGCAAACCTAATCACGCAACGCGTGTCGCCCAAAAGTTCCAAAACTGAAATGAATGGCGCCTAAACACGCTGATATGCGATTTGATATTTTAAAGGTGCATTTTGAAATCATGGGCAGAATCGCTGCGATTTCGCCCGTGTACAAAACACCTATATGTAAACGGAGCCTTATAGAGCAGGGAGGTTGGTTAAGAATATTATCAGACTCCTAGTTGTCGTTCCTGCCTCCTTGATTTAAAAGAAGCATGGGAATTGGAAAAATCAGTTTTTCACCTAGGTAGATGCAGCATCGGTGTGACTCGAAGACCGCGAACTGGGGGATCAAAGACCGCTGATCTCTCGGTTCTCCGTTTTCAGTGAGCAGAGAGCCAGTGACTGGATGACAAAAGCTTTGGCACTACTCCACTAATGAAATCAAACTTTTAAAAAGTTACATCGTTATTTTTTTAAAAAGGTAAAAAACACAAATGTGCGAACGAGGAATACATTATGCTTTTAGAGTGTTACTAAACCTATAACTCTACATTCACTATATCTGGTCTCCCACAGAACACGGAAGTGCGTTTTTTTTTTTTTTTTTTTTTTTTTTTTTTTTGGTAAATGTAAACTGCTAAATACTTTCTCATCAGCAGTATATGCAGTCTTGTGATTTCTATCAGTGTCCAGCCGAACACTGGTTAAAGCTTGTAGGAAGATTTTTCCTTCTCTTCTGTCCTATAAAGCTGCATAACCCCTCATCCTCTGTCTGGACAGTGCTGATTGGCCCAGTGCTGATCACATGCACTTTCTAAAAAAAAAAAAAAAAACTACAAAAAAAAAAATTCTGTAGCAATACACACCAAACTGAACCGGTGCAGAGTGCCTCCTAAGGCTCTGTACTTTCAGCAGATGGAAAAGAGACTCAAACAGCCCTTTTATGCAATGCTAAGGATTAACTCCCTTAGGTTCCACAGTGAGTATAACAAACTTGCTTTACTGCATATACAGACTGATTTTACTGTTGTGGGTTTAGTAACACTGAGCTCCTCAACTTTAGAATATCCCAGTGTCCATCTTTTCAGCCTTTTGTGTTAAGTCAACTCCACACAGTCAGTCAGGTCCTCATTAATGCTCTGCACACATTAGGTAAATTATGTTTCATCTGTGAATAGAATAGGGCATTTATTACCTTTTTAATGTGGCTATACTGAATGTGCTGGGTAATGGTAGTATGTAGTTTATAGTATAGTATTGTGTAATGAACCTTTCTCCTTGAAGCTGGGAAAGCTGCCAGCTTTAATAAAATGTTACAATTGGCTGCAAATTTGTGCAAGGGCTTAGTGCCAAATCATTACACAATGGTTTGTAATAAAACAAGTCCTACTACATTGGGAAATATTGGTAAAATAAAACACGCTGTGTAATTCAAGAATACAAGCAATGTAGATTGAATGAAGTCAGAATTTGCTAATAAGGGAGCAGCTAAGCAGTTCTTTTAGCAATGATTAGTCATGGAGGCCTCCTGTTTTTTGATATTTCAAAAGCTCTGTAATGCACTTAGATTTATTGGTAGTAGTGTGAAATGATTTACAATTGTACTTGTGTTTTTGTGCAGTCCATGGGTTTGCTGGATAAAAAGAGTTTGAAGATCACAGGAATAAAGTAAGCGTATTTATTGTTGCTGACGTGGTCTATCAGCTCGGCTTTACTTTGTATAAACCCTAATGGTGCATTGTCTTTCAACAGAGATTTCTCCTGGTCTCCTGGGGGTAATATCCTAGCGTTCTGGGTTCCAGAAGACAAAGATATTCCTGCTAGAGTGACCCTAATGCAACTTCCATCCAGGCAAGAGATCAGAGTAAGGAATCTTTTCAATGTGGTTGACTGCAAGCTTCACTGGCAGAAGAATGGAGACTACCTTTGTGTGAAGGTGGATAGGACACCAAAGGGAACTCAGGTAGGTGCCAACTAATTCATTTTATATGTGTCAAGCTATTTCTTGTATGGTGTTTGCATGGTCACATCTTATATGGTGTAGTCAGGAAATGTTTGATTCTCTACACCAGTGGTTCTCAACCTTCCTAATGCCGCGACCCTTTAATACAGTTCCACATGTTGTGGTGACCCCCAACCATAAAATTATTTTCGTTGCTACTTCATAACTGTAATTTTGCTACTATTATGAATTGTAATGTAAATATCTGATATGCAGGATATATTTTCATAAATATATAATGTGTTGCGCTCCCAGTGACAATATCTTTGATGTATATATCTAATTAACCTTGCTATGCAAAATGATTTTCAGGTATTAAAAAATATGCAAAATCAAACTATGTGAGTGATTTAAAAAAATATAAACCACTATAGTGTATATAAATTAGATAATAATAACCGCAAAACCAATGAATAGTGCATAGTGAACTAAAATATATAACTAAAAATAATACACATCATGAATAGTGAAATACTCACTATGGCAGGACGGCTGGCGGATCATTAGAGCTGAGAGCTGAGCAATTCATCCTAGACCGCATATCACATATGTGAGTGTACCTGTTGGCAAGCAATAAAAGGAGAAACCTTTTTATAAGGATAAAACACCATGTCTGGCAATTTGTTCCCACATATGGAAAAACGCACATGGGCAATCTGAGGATAACGCATATCCACGTTCTTTACCATTCACAAAAGAGGAATTCCATCTAAGCAGGTTCCATAGGAGGTGAACCACAAGTGTGTATAGCCTAATTGCAGGCTAACAAGGAGGTGAGCATACATCTTTACCAATTGAGGATTCAAAGAAAGTCACAGATTCACAAAAAGTCACCAAATCAAGATTTATTCAAGCACAAAGTCACTGTATTTAAAGGACATTTATATCACAATTATTTGGCAGTATATATATAATTTTTTTTGAGTATTTCACTATTCATGATGTGTATTATTTTTAGTTATATATTTTAGTTCACTATGCACTATTCATTGGTTTTGCGGTTATTATTATCTAATTTATATACACTATAGTGGTTTATATTTTTTTAAATCACTCACATAGTTTGATTTTGCATATTTTTTTAATACCTGAAAATCATTTTGCATAGCAAGGTTAATTAGATATATACATCAAAGATATTGTCACTGGGAGCGCAACACATTATATATTTATGACTTTTTGGACACCCAGGTAGTGTTGTGTTGAGTGTTTGCGATCCTATATATATTTTGGACGGTCAGTGTCCATTCCCTTGGTTTTGAGAGGTTAATATTTGGTGGATACAGACTGGCTCGCAAGTTACACAGACATTTGCCAACAGGATATATTTTCATTGTTACAAATTGAACATAATTAAAGCATAATTACTATCACAAGGGGGCAGTATTCACATCAACCACAGCTGAATATAAAAAGACCGATCAGCATCCATATTAAGTTCCCATGGTACAGATATTTTTTTTTTGCAATAGTTGATGATTTTACAGTACATGTTTTTACATTTACCCAGTAATTATAATTCATGAAGTGTCGTTTTACCTCCAATACTGCTGCTTTCAACACAGTAGCTGCTTTTAACAGAGTATGTGGGCATATCTGCATGTGGGCGGACCCGCCTGGAGACGGATAGAGGAGCGGTGTCTCGGTTCCTAAGACCATCAGAAATAAGTGTTTTGCGATGGTCTTAGGCGACCCCTGTGAAAGGGTCGTTTGACCCCCAAAGGGGTCGCGACCCACAGGTTGAGAACCACTGCTCTAGAGCATGTTTTGAAGCACATAGTCTTCTTAAAGTAGAATGCATCTGCACATTTCACTTCCAACACAAAATCTAAAGTAAGGGGTTTATTCTTCCTTTGGGGAAAGTAGGAGGATTTGTGAAAAGCATTCTTTTTGCCTAAAGGCCAACTGGAATCCAGAAATTCTGGTTTACAGCACATATGCAGCGTAACAACATAAAAGCAATTTCTTCCAAACTCCATACAACTGTTTATGGATTGTTGGCCATCATTAGTCTAAATTGAGAAAACAGAAACCTTCGCTTCTTTGTAGCAGGGCTTTTGAACCTGTCTGGTTATGTTTAATAGTGCGTGTATTAAAATTAAAGCTAGGTACAAACTGAGGTTTTTTTTTTTTTTTGCTCAACTAGTGGGCTAACTGTGAAAAAAAAAAAAAATCAGATTTCCACACAAGCAACATGGATACTGGAATTTCCCCTGATACGCTGTTTTATTCTGACAGTGGGGACTCCCCTGTCAGAATACACTGATGGAATGCTGGTTTTTCCAGCAGGACCATTCGACGGAAGCTTGTCTAACATATGGCTTCTGTTGAACAGAGAAGGCTCCACATAGATCAAAAATTTGGCTGACTCTGTTGAATTTTGATCATGTTTACCCAGCTTAAAATGAATGTAGGCCATAATTATTAACCACTTCCGCGCCGCCCTATAGCAGAAATACTGCTACAGGGCTTCACGGGTGCGCAAAATCGCGTGTGTGTGTGTGTATATATAGGTGATTTTGCAGTTACAGGTAGGGGACGCTCACGTCGCCATTCTCAGCCTTGGCTGTCAATCACACAGTTAACCCTTTGATCGTCCCACATGTTAACCCTGCCCAGTGCCATTAGTACAGTGTCAGTGCTTTTTTATTAGCACTGATCACTGAATTGGTGTCACTGGGGATGTCAGTGACACAGTTCGTTCCCCCCCCTCCCCCCCAGTGTCAGAATGCCCACTGCAGTCCCACTATAAGTCACCTGATCACCTCCATTACTAGTAAAAAAAAAAATCCAGTATCTATACCGCCATGTTTAGACTTTATAACGTTCATGTAAACCAATTAATTTACACAAATTTGGGATTTTTTTTTTTTTTTTAGCAAAGACGTAGTAAAATTTTGGTCCTAAATTTGACAATTTAATTTTTCTAAAAAAAAAAATTTTTTACTGGACATGTTTAATAGCAAAAAGTCAAAACTGTCTCTCTCCCCCCCCCCCCCCCCCCTCAAAATTGTCATTCGATTAAATACCACCGAAAGAAAGCTCTATTTGTGGGGGGATAAAGGACGTAAATTTAATTTGGGTGCAGAGTTGCATGACCGACACAATTGTAATCACAAAAAATTGCCTGGTCAGGAAGGGGGGAAAATCCTCTGGAGGGCAAGTTGTTAACCTCTGTTAAATATTCAGTAGAAAGTGTTTAGTTTTCTGTTTAATTAGGACAAATGATTTGTGGATCCTGCCAGTAAACTGACAACTTTCTGTGCTGACGGATACCAGTTAAAGAAAAAAAAAGGTGGAGGTGTCTTGTAGCCATGCCTTAGGGCAGTACTCTCCAAACTGTGGCCAGGGGGCTGGATGCGGACGCTTGCTTTAATCCGGCCCTTCACTGATTCCAATAATGGGACATTATTCCTGCCACTGATACCAACATTGGGGCACAGTTCCTCTCTTTGACACAAATGATAGTGTGCAATTCCAACCAATATCACCAACAATGGGCACTATATCTCCCAATGACATCAATGAAAGGGGCACCATATCTCTCGCTGATGCCTACAATGGGGCACAGTTCCTCCCAAAAACAAACAATATAAAATTCCTTCCACTGACACCTACTGATAGGACTGATGTCTGTCTGTAGCAAACCTGTCCTCACTCCTCTTACCACCCGATCCTGGGAAATAAAGCTATTGACATAGACGTGTTTTAAGCCGTATTTCTGAAGTTTAATGCAATGTGTTAGAGGTACTATACAGAAACAAAAAAGGTGTCTTGGGATAACCAATAAAGCATTACACGCTTATCAGCATAGTTATGTGAAAACAGAAACTGCAAAAACTGACATGCACCTTTTATAAGGTATTTCTGTTTACACAGAAATGAAGGCATATTCATGAGAAAAAAAAAACTTACATATCTAATATGGATGCATTATGTAAAATGGATGCCAGTTTAAAGACACATCTCCTTACACCTACAGTGGGGTACAATTCCTCTAAATGACACCAATGTTGGTATACAAGTCCTTCCAATGTCCAGTCATGGGACATTGTTCCTCTGATACCAGTGATGGGGCATTGTTCTTAATGACTGGCCATTATTCCACCCACTGACACCAGGGACAGGGCACTATTTCTTCCACTAACACCAATGATTGAAGTACTATTCCTCCCCTAATTCCAAAGATCGGACATTGTTTACTCCCAGTGAAGCCAGGATATTTTCTTCTGACGTCCCACAGTCCAGCCCCCCTAAAGTCTGAAAAAACGTTAATTGACCCTTTAGAAAGTTTTAGACCTGCCCTAGGGTGCCAATACTGTTTTTTTCATAGATACTATGTGAGTGAGTGTTGCAAGAAGTATTTTACTGGCAGGATCACTGGGGGGGGAAAAGAAAATAAAATGCATCCACCATCTTGGGCAAACTTTTTGACTTGAGGGCCGCAATGGGATGGACCGGGGGCCGGACCAAGAGTAGATGAATGATGTGTATGTGTCATCCATAGTAAGTATAGTAATATTCCCCCATAGTAAGCATAGTAATATTCATCCCCCATATAGTAATTCATCCCCCATATTAAGTCCCCCCTGTGTCAGTTCACTTACCTTTGCTCCGCGCGTTCCTCTCGCCGTGTTCCCGCACCGTTCCGGTGTAGCATGTGTCTCCTATGAGGATCTGTCCCCCTCGACGTATCTGCGCATGTGCCAGTTTCAGGCATTAGCAGTCGATCGGCGATCTCCGGCACATGCGCAGATACGTCGAGGGGGACAGATCCTCAAAGGAGACAGATTTTTGCGGTCTTTGTTAGCCTTTCGCGTTCGTCACGCTGCCCGCCTACACACATCCTGACAGCCATCCTGACAGTATTCCGCGAGCCGGATTAAAAGGTCCGCCGGGCCGTAGTTTGCTCATTGCTGATCTAAGGACTTAGTAAGCCGCAATTTTGCTTTTTGTTTTTATTACGCTGCCTTTGACATTTTTCTTTTTTTGTTTTTTTACTTTTTTGTTTTTTTTTACATAGTTCTGAATGTATTATAGTTATATCAATGTTTTCTCTTGCCTGCAGGGTGTGGTAACCAATTTTGAGATATTCAGAATGAGAGAGAAACAAGTCCCAGTAGATGTGGTTGAAATGAAAGGTAAATTGTAATTTTTTTTTTTTCTGTATTGCAGTAGAGTATGTAGAGATACAGATGAGTGAGCTCTTATACCCACACATATCCTTAGCACCCCCCTCTATTATGTGGTCTTGTTTAGGGAGGGTGTAAATACATACATTGGAATTTGTAGGTTAAGTGCCTTGTGAATGGACACCTACACATACATTGACCTAGCTAGAAATGCCCCTAACGACTAGATGGTCAGCTTTCCTTTTATTTTGTCATGTTCAGACTAAAGATGGAGCTCTTAAACCAAAATTCAATCCTGAGAAAAGTGAAAGTGTATTTGTTTTTTCTTATTTTCCTGTAGATGGCATCATTGCTTTTGCCTGGGAACCCAATGGAAGCAAATTCGCCGTGCTCCATGGAGAAGTCCCTCGGATATCGGTATCTTTCTACCACGTCAAGAATAATGGCAAGATTGAGCTTATAAGTAAGTCTGAATTTGTCCTCCCCTAAATCTTTAGGTTTTGCTAAATAGGCAGCCGTACATACCAGCGCCTTTTGTGATATATTTTGACATGGATTTATATCTGGTTTTTAGAAATGTACGACAAACAACAAGCTAATACAATCTTCTGGAGTCCACAGGGACAGTTCTTGGTCTTGGCAGGATTGAGAAGGTATGTGCAAAAGCTCTTCTCCACTTTGCTTTAACTCTTCTTCAAAGTACTTTAGTTCAGTTGTTTTATTGGTTCCTCTTGGATTTAGTACCATAATGATGACATTTTGATCTATACATAATCCTATAACTATTTCCTTACCTTTCAGCATGAATGGTGCCCTGGCCTTTGTTGACACCTCAGACTGCACCATCATGAATATTGCAGAGCATTATACAGCCTCTGATGTGGAATGGGATCCAACAGGCCGTTACGTTGTCACATCTGTGTCCTGGTGGAGCCATAAAGTAAGAACTATTTTTGTTTCAAAGTGGCAGTAAACTCCGCTAAAAAAATTTGATCAAATGGTCCCCCTCCAGTGTCATGCCATTATGAGCTAGTATGCATCACATACGAACGCATTATGGCAGACTTAACGGTCAAGTGGAGCCCTCCAGCGGCGCATTCTTCGCTCCAGTCGCTATCATCTTCACCTGGACTTCCTACCAAACTTGCTCTGCCCAGCTGCGATGATGTCACTCCTGCACATGGACGCAGGAGTCGCATTTGCTGCACAGCTCTTTCTGCATTGATGGCACACTGCTCACGCATAGTGCTGTAATTGGCTTTTGCCCATGTGAAGATGTCATAAACTGCGCAGTTTCAGGAAATATCCGCTGTACCTAGAGCTAAGCTATTTTTCTGTGAATAAGTTGACAGAACATTAGTTTTATCAAGACAAACTAGTTCTAATGTTAGTAAGTTTTGGGCCAGCATATGAAATAAGACATCCATTCCAAAGCTAGGTATCGGTGATCTATCCATATAATTTTTTCTGTTTTAAAATACTTAATTCTTCATGATAGACTAGATAGATGATGACTTTAAGAATAATTGGGACCCCTGGATGATATATCTCTCAGGACCCTCTTAGGTAGGACTGAGGGAAACGTGAAGAATCTACAGAGGGTGCACATCCTATATCTTGATTTCTGCTCCTCTTCCTTCCTCTCCCACATCCCTCCCTTTCCCCCTCCTTTTTTTTTTTTTTTTTTTTTTTTTCTTTTTCTCTCTCTGTACACTTTTCTCCCTTCTTTCCTTCCTCCTTTTTACGTTTCCTTCAGGCTTAGTTAGCTCAAGGCCCTGAGGGGCTCCCCCCCCCTTATTGTCTGAGGAGAGTTGGAGGAAGGATGTCACACCACACAGATTGCAACTGTCTTTAACATATGTTCTGACAAATGTTTTTTTTTTTTTTGTTGACTTGGCATCCTCAAGTCCCATTTGGGACCCCATTTTGCTATTAACGACTGAGGATTGTTTTTTGTTTTTTTTGTATATTTGTGCCTGTCAAGATTGGCTGTAGTTTGCTGATAAATGGATGCAAAATTTGTTTGGATTGTTCTGTAAAACCTCTTTCTATGACAGAACTAATAAACATTATTGAAAAGCAATACTTACTGGTTTTCTGCCAGAAACCCTTTGTTTTCTGGAGTCAAATATTTGGATCACACCTTATTAATTTAGTTTAGTGATGCACATATTGCTATAAAAGCAAGGGGTAGGGAAATAGACACCTATATTCACAGGTTTTTTTTTTATAGTACATTGGTTTAACTAGCTGCGGTGACTGGTGTTTTTCTTGCATCAGTTCAACGGCACAGTTTTTGTGTGCCCTTTACACACTGCAACAGAGCCCCTAAGTGCCGAGCAATGAGAAAAAAGGAATACTCTATGCGTTTTCACACAATGGATAACGTTCACCTGAAGGTGCTACATGTAATGCATGATGCGTGTGCACCCGTTTAAATGAGACCTTAGTCTTGGACTTCATGATTTTCATATGTTGCCATGGCAGAGTTGGGTGGATGGGTTCTAAATGAATGGTTTAGACAGGCACAGATGCTCTTAGGAGATAGCTGACACTGGAAAGAGAACGTTATGGAAGGTCTTGTCATCTAGAATTAGCCCTGGTTGCACAGGTAACCTCCCATGTTTCCTGAATGATTTGACCATCAACCTTTATAAAATGCTATTGTTTCCTAATTCATTGTTTAATATTTGCTTTAAAGCCAAGCATGCTATAAAATATACTATCTCTCGCCATAGTAAAATGTTTACATCTGTATACCAGCCAACAAGACACATTGTGGGTTTTATTTGAATAAGATGTTCTCTTCTATTGTAGGTGGATAATGCATATTGGATGTGGACATTCCAAGGTCGTCTTCTCCAGAAGAACAACAAAGATAGATTCTGTCAGCTTTTGTGGCGACCAAGGCCACCAACCCTGCTGAGTGTAGATCAGATAAAGGTACATAGTGTGGCGTGTATTACTAGATAATTTCTGTATTGTGCATGGTATGTGTAGGGCTTGGTTTTTAAAAGAAAGATTTGTCCTTAAACAAGAGAAACACCACTAGTTTATAGGATACATATTGTTCGTTTGCTGGTTATTGACTTTGACCACAAAGGGGGGCTAAAAGCTGAACACATAGATGTCCACTATGATTTGATTATTATTACCAGACCATAGCAACATTATCTGAATTCTTCATGCATAAAATGAAACCTTTTGCAATCTGTCAAGGGGTTAAAGAGATAAATTGTTATGGTAGAAATAAAAGTTAAGGCCTTATCACCTTATAGCTTCCCCTCTATGATTGATATATATTTAGGCTAAAAATACACCACTATGAATTAAGGGTAGAACAGTGAGGCATAAAAGGTATAGACATAGGTGAGGTATCTGTGCATGAGGAACTAATGTTAAGAGAATATTTCTTAAAGGATAAGTTCACCTTTGGAAAATGTTACATGTTCCACCAGTGTTTAGTGTTGACCGTGTAACCTGTTCCAGCTCCTGCCTCTCCACTCAATCCACCCCCTCCCTGTGACAGCAGGCAGGCGATCCTCTCCTGCTGTCAGAATTTAAAACGGTTCAGCCCTGCAGGGCTCCACATACACAGTGCATCATCCATTCACAAAGTTCTGTAAATAAATTGAACTACAAGTACTGTCTGCCCCTGGGGCTGATAGCTTGTTCTCTTTGATCTATGAGGGCGCTGTTGAGTGCTCTCATTCCTCCAATTCAGTAACTGTCTGTATGAGCTACGGGTAGACAGCTGACTGAGAAGTCTACAGGATCCTGGTTTTGCACCAGTGGTCTGCTGAGAGCAGGTGCAATGCCTTACAGGCTGCAGCGTAGAAAAATAATGCACTTTTTTTTTTTAAATCAAGTAGTTTTTATTGAGGTATTTTTGCAAATCGAACAACATAGCAACAAACAAGAAACATAACTATGACACTGAACTATATGTCAGTACCGGCAAACGCCAAGCCGAACGTAATATGAACATTGCAAACAACAAAACAAAATAAAAATTACAAAAACTGAGGTTATAGGCCATATAAACCAAAAAAACAAAATATACTTTTTTTTTTTGTCATATACAGAATCGCAGTACACACATATAAGATACTCAGAACCAGTATGGTCAGAATCACCAGTAAAACTCGTATCTTAGCACGTTATCCTAAGGATCCCTCAACAACAGTAACATTGCACCCACCATAGTGAACTTAGCCTTTTATGCTTTAAGATGAGTCTGAAGTAGAATGTACTTGACTTTTCATGTGACTGTTATTTTTTTCCACAGCAAATCAAGAAAGATTTGAAGAAGTACTCAAAAATATTTGAACAGAAAGATCGATTGAGTCAGTCTAAAGCTTCAAAGGTAAAACAATACTGCAAATGGATTTTGAACTCTTAATTCCTACTAGACAATGAAGGTGCATCCTTTCCTACTGACAAAAAGGTACTGGGATGTAGGCCTCACTTATAGAAGGTAGAGCATAGAAATACCATGTACTGCATATCGCCATTAATAGACACCCTCTTCTTTTAAATCTTATTAGTCTGATAGGGCCCTGAAATGTTCTAAATTCATTATTAGAAGCCGTTTCAGCACTGAATATTTAGTGTTGAAATCCTAATAACTTCCAAATAGGAAGCTGCACGGAAGGTCTCTGAATGTGAGAGAGTACACTATAATTTCAATGAAATGTTCAGATCACAACATTTTGAGGCTCAGTGCCAAACCACTATTGGTTTTATACTGGAATGTCTTGCCATAAGAATGCAGTAAGCTACTCTTGCAGTTGCACAGAAAACCCTTTTACGGTCATGCTGAGTAACTAGCATTGAGGTCATCAACCTGCGGGTTCCACTGTATCAAGAAACAAAATCCATCATTTAATGCAAAGAGCAGCACTCTCCACCACATATTGTAATTAGCATTTGGCCATTACTTTTATATTTCTTCGCACCCAGCACTCATTTGTTTCATGCAGCTGCTGGTGATGGTTAAACACTCACAGTATCCTAGTCTAGTGCAAGATGTTACCTCAGCTGCTGCAAACATGGTTCTTCCTCCTGGTTGCTGAAGAGACACTTCTGGTCCTGCCACTAGTAAGCTTCTATTCTGATGCACTCAAGTGCTGCATGTGGATAGGAACCCAATGGCATATGTCTGGGTTTTGGCCGTTTTTTTTCCTCCCTAAGGCATTTTGACCTATGATCGATTCCTGATCATTAGTTCAGACTGGAATAAACAGACAGAGTGGTCTGACTTGTGTGGCATACCAGCTATCAGATGGTGAATGTAGATTTACATTCTCTTGGCACATGTGGGATCATAATTCTACAGCAGACCCCTAGCAGTTTACACTTGGGTCTACTCCTTTGGAGCAACTAATAGATCAAGTAAATGTGTGCTGGTGAACAATTGGGCACAGCATTGGTTTTGGACATACTACCTATCTGACAATATTAGGTTCACAGACACTATTTATCAAACTTTATTTTGCATTTCAAAGGAACTGATTGAACGCAGAAGAACCATGATGGAAGAATACAAGAAATACCGTGAGCAGGCGCAAAATTTGTACTTGGAGCAGAAGACTGCTCGTCTGGAGCTCAGAGGAGGTTTGTATACAATGCCATTGTCTCATAATAATGGGCTACCAGACATATGTCTAATCTGTGTCCTATTTCTTGCATCTCATAGGCGTGGATACGGATGAGCTGGACAGCAATGTTGATGACTGGGAGGAAGAGACCATTGAATTCTTTGTCACTGAAGAAATTATTTATTTGGAGGAGTAATCCATTAACATTACAGGTTTTTGTTTTTTTTTTTTTGTTTTGTTTTTTTTTTTTTGTTGTTTTTCCGCCCTTGAAGTAGGAAATGCTTTTGTTATAAATTGCACATGTAATAAACGTGGAGCAGGGGCTCTCTAAACATGTTTTATGTGATAACCCAAATAAGAACATTTTATGTACCCAAGAAGAGAAATATTACATATAAATGTCATCAAAGCCCGACAAAGACAAATGACAATGATCATACACTTTGCACTATTTCTGTAAGCTTAGTAAAGCCAAGAAAAATATTTTATATTTGACATGTTCAACTAGCACTGGGGTCTCTTCACCTCCTGTCTTGTCTATGAAACATCCTCCAGCTTGCATACGTTTTAGTCCCCCATACGTTTAATTGCTTCACAGATATTGAAATGAGTGGCAGTGCTGTGAGTGGACATATTTTTAGGTTTTTATCCCATATAAATGAACAGTGTGTGATATGTTAACTGCATTGTTTAAACACATAGTCTATATGTTTAAAAGTGCTTTATTGCTCACCACTGATTTGCACTTGGAAAAACTAGGCTTTGTTTACCACAGTCAGTGGTGATCATTGCAGACTTGTCTGTGAACCAATTTGTGTCCTGACAAATGTAAGCAACAGTGACTGATACATTTGGAGTGTAGGGCATGTCAGTTGTAGCAAGCTTCTTTTGTTTGCTCTTTTTTTGGTCTATTTAATATACTATTGAAAATATTTTGTTATATCAGTTTCCAAAAATACAAAAAAAATTTTCATATTGGCAGAAATCTTGTGAGAACTTCTATGGCTGCGGCTACTGGTTAGCTTTATTCCCAGTCCTCTGACTAGTGAACATCTCCTGTGTTACAGAGATTCAAAGGGGGGGGGGGGGGGGTGTTCTCTAGATCTAACACTTCTCTTGGGGTGATGATGCCAAAAATACAGCATAGTCTGTAATTGATGTGGGTGTAGGAAAGAGAGTGTGTTAATGTCAAGATCACCAGGTACAAATATAGTGGTGAAAGCTTGAAAAAAAAATCATGCAGTCACCACATCTAAGGTCTGGCGCAGCGCAGTGTTTATTTTTATGTTCTTGTTGGTGTAAATCAGTGGTGACCAACGTGGAAAATTATAGTCTCAATTGAGGCTCCCACCACTTCAAGAATGTGGGTCCTGCTGCATTTTTTCACAACGTATTGTAATGCACATTGAGAAGGTTGGCGTACAGCAATCGCCAACACTGGTGTCAGTGCATGCAATAACCCCCAACACTGGTGTAAGTGCGATTATTCCTCTGCTTTATACCATTATATTCAAATCATGACTGCATGTTTGACACCAGGGGTTTAGATACTTCAGAATGTACAATCTGTGTGAAATCTAGCCAACTATTTCTAGAATATTTTAGCTTGAGTTTTTAGGTTTTTTTTTTTTTTGTTTTTTTTTCAGAAGAAGTGTGCTGTCATTCATATATATTTTTATGTTCTCTTCATGCAGCGTTTTCCTCCCTGGCATCAGCAATTGTTCTCTACAAAAACACTCAACTCCAAGGTTCTGTCTTAGTCCTCCTGCGACCGTGAATGGGACATTACATCATTCCTTTCCGAAGTTGTGCCTTTAACCTTCTCCGGGGGATCTTTTTAAAGAGCGCTACTTTTAAATTGAATACTCTGTACCACCACTGGATCCATCTAGCGAAGGAAACTGCTGCTGGTACTCCGAGTCATTTTGTCTCGCCATGACTCTGCTTCCTGACACCCGATGCACGTTGGTTCAGCTTGCCAAGAGCTTTTTCTACTTCCTTACTGAGAGGACAGTCAACTGTTCTTACTGGCAAATGAGTTACAACAATATACTTGTAATTACTACATCTTTTAGTGTGCTGAACCAGCACTACAGTGGACTGTACCCTCCTCCATTCAGATTGCGACTTTGCAGGATGAAAGATGGAATTTAAAGTAAACATATATTTAAAATACGTATGTGTGGCTTTGTCTTGAATTACTCTGTTTTAATCAGCTATAGGCATATATGTGGCAGCATGGTGATGAGCTCTGATGCTGTCCTGTCACATTTATGCACACAGCTGGTGCTGCTGTTTTTGTCCTGGAAATGTGCTCGATGGCAACTCCCGGTCATGGTTTGTAATCAGGTGCTGCTTTTAGGATGGGCTCTCAATCATGTGATTTCTTTGACTGCTGAATTACAATGTACACATGATCGAGAAGCCCATGTAACTCCTCTTGTGTTGCGTGCCCCTTTTATGTCCTGGCAGGAAAGTTAGAGGGCTGTCTATTAAGTCCTTATATTTCAGCTGTAGGGGTATGCAGGTAGACTAAATCACTTTTCTTGTTCAAACAATTTTATTAACAATAAACCAGAATGACACAAACAAGGAGACATTGTTAATGTATACTAGGCATTAAAGGGGCAGTAGGACATAATAAAATGAATGAGGGTCAAGGTATTAATGCCTATACATTTCTAATGGAAACAGGTAGATAAAAGTTGACAACAGATCACAATATGGTATCAGCCAATCATAGCAATGTCTCCCAAGTGCATTAAAGAAATAGGGGGAAGTTTGGAGGGGGTCAGACAGGGGTGGAAGGGGGGGGGAGGGGAAGAGGAACAACCATGACTCCATGAACATTCATCAAGTTTACAGCAGCCCCTACGTGCTACGTACGAAGGGCTATTGACAATATCCTTGGCGCACAGTACAGAACTCAAGGGAGAAGGAGTGATTCGTCAAAGTTAGGCGGGAGGAAGCGTTCTACCCAGGGGCTCCATATGCGCAGGAATTTAGGGATCATGTCAAGAACTGTGGCTTCCACCTTTGCGTGTATCATGGCTTGTGTTATTCTGGTTTTGACGGCCGCGACACTTAGGGTGGGGGATTTCCAAGATTTCGCTATGACGACTAAATCACTTTTCCAGCGTTAGATTCCAACACAGGGTTGGCAAGCTTATAGAAGCCAACATAACATTGCAGAATAACATAAGACAATACGGAAGTCAAACATAAATGGACCGGGGTATTGCATTGAAAGATGGTGTGGTTGTGTTTTCTCCTGATTGTGTACCTGTTCCCTGCCATTGATTGCCTTATGCTTTGTACAAATAGGCTTTGGTTTTCATAACAGCGCCTTGTACAGTAAGGGTTTATGAGGCATTTGCAAAGCTTTCTACAAGCTTTTAAAACAACCCTCAGCTCCAGTTTAACCACATGCCCTCCAGAGGATTTACCCTTCCTGACCAGGCCATTTGTTGCGATACGGCACTGTTACTTTGACAATTGCGCGGTCATGCAACACTGCACCCAAATGAAATGTATGTCCTATTTTTTTCCTCCACAAGTGGAGATTTCTTTTATGTGGTATTTAACCACCTGTGCGGTTTTTATTTTTTGCGCTATAAACAAAAATAGTTCTTTATTGTTGAGGTCAATGGGAGGAATAGTGCCCCATTGTTGGTGATATTGGTTGGAATTGCATACTATCATTTATGTCAATGAGAGGAACTGTGCCCGATTGTTGGTATCAGTGGCAGGAATAATGTCCCATTGTTGGGAGTCAGTGAAGGGCTGGATTAAAGCAAGCGTC